GGTGGCTCTGGAGGCGGGCCCTGTCAGTACCAGATCCAGACCGGTCCTCGCCCGCGGCTTCGTTTGCGGTAAGATCGGTCATTCTACTCCTCGCTGTTTTCGTCGCCTGGACGACCTGTTCCGCCAGCGCTTTGGCCCGGCGCCCGACCTCCCGGACTGGCACAGCTTGCTTAGGCGTAGCGTTAGGATTTTTGACTTGGACATGGATGCCATTGTAGCGGCCTTGCATGTGATGTATGCTGATGACTCTAGTGTGCTTCCCTCTTATTACCCCGTGTGCCTAGTGTAGCGGTGCCTAGCGTAGACTCCCCTGCTGCGTCAGGCGTAGGATCTCTTGCTTTGCTTAGCCTTTGGTGCTTCCACCGCTTCACTGCTGCCTCGCGCGACTGGCTGCGCTTTCCTTCACCTTGGACTCTGGCGCCTCCCGGTGTTTCTTCCGCGACTCCACGACGCTGACGCCGCTGCCTGTTCCCGCTGCAGTTACTCTTGCTGACCCTCCGGTGGTCCCGTCGTTGCCCGCAGTTCCACCTCCCTTCCCTGTCCGGCGGTTCCTTCGGGCACTCTCACAGGTCTGCATATCCCTCGTTCTCCAGGAACCTAGTTGGTGTCGGCTGCCTCCAGGACCTTGGCGTCACCACTACGTTCCCTGGTCACGAGCGGTATGCTGTCTGTACCGAGGCCGCCACTGGTGCCCCCCTTACCACTTTCCCCCGGGACCCGGTGTCCGGCCTGTTCACACTTGACACCGCGCCGTCCCCGGCTGGGTCTTCCCCCCGGTAGTTGCGTCCACCCAGGTTGCAGCCGCGTGCTCCTGTCGGTCCCTCACTCACCCGACTCTCCTTTGGCACCACCGCCTTGGTCACCCTGCACTCCCACGTCTGCGTCACATGTCCCAGCACGGTCTCGTCCTTGGTCTCCCCGGTTCGTTCCCCGAGTTTCCCTCCTCCCCCGCCCCACCGTGCACGCCTTGTGTCGAGGGCCGGCTCCGCCGTGCCCCTCACTCCTCCTCTTTTCCCCTACCACCGCACCACTGCAGACTCTGCACATGGACGTCTGGGGCCCAGCCCCGGTCCATGGGCCGCGTCGCGAGCGCTTCTTCCTAGTGCTTGTCGACGACTTCACGCGCTACACCACCGTCTTCCCCCTGGAGCGGAAGGCCGACGTGCCTGACGTTCTCATCCCCTGGCTTGTCTCTGCTCGTGTCCACCGCGGTCTCCCTGCCTTGCGCCTTCACTCCGACCGGGGTGGCGAGTTTGCCTCAGGTGTCCTTGGTCGCTTCTGTCGTGCGGAGGGCATCACCCAGACGTTTACCCTGCCGGACTCCCCGCAGCAGAATGGGGTCGCTGAGCGACGCATCGGTTTGGTCATGGAGGTGGCTCGCACCTCCATGATCCACGCCGGTGCACCCCATTTTCTGTGGCCGTTCGCCGTGCGCTACGCCGCTCACCAGCTTAACCTGTGGCCGCACCCCCAGCGGCCGCAGGTTTCGCCGACCCTTCTGTGGACCGGGTCCCCTGGTGACGCGTCTGCGTTCCGCGTCTGGGGCTGCCTTGCTCACGTTCGTGCCTCTGGCACGGACAAGCTCACTGCCCGCACCCTCCCCTGCGTCTTCCTCGGTTTCCCCCTTGACGCGTCCGACTGGCACTTCTACCACCCGCCGTCTCACCGCTTCTTTCACTCTCGCGACGTCACCTTTGACGAGTCCGTCTCCTTCTACCGCCGCTTTCCCCACCGTGGTCCCCCGGTTACTCCCCCCCTTTTCCTGGTTCCTCCCTCCCTGGTGGTCCCTGCCCCTCCCCCCCCCCGCCCCCCCGTCCGGCCCCCTCTGGTGTGTCTCACGTCACCCCCCTCCCGTCGGTCGTCCGGTCGACGAGTCTTCTGACTCTGGTAGTCCTCCGGCGCAGTCCTCGCCGTCTGTCCCTCCCCCGGTGTCTCCTCCTCCACCGCCTCCGCAGCCGCCGTCGCCGCAGCTGCTGCAGCCGTCGTCTCCACCGCCGCCGCCGTTGCAGCCGTCGTCTCCGCCGCCGCCGCCGTCGCAGCCGTCGCTGCAGCCGCCGCCGCCGCCGCTGTCGTCGCTGCCGCCGTTTGTGGACTCTGGGGGTGTCCCTTCTGGGGGTGCAGGTGTGGAGGGTTCGGGAGGTAGCCGTCGCGCAGCTTGTGGCCCTGGTGTTGGTGTTGTGTCGCCGCAGCAGCAGTCCCCGCCTGTGTCCGCCCTCCGTCTGCTCGGCCTTCCGTCTCCTGACCCTGCGCCTGTTCCTCTCCTGCCGTCTCCCCCTCTTCCCGTCTACGGCCCCGTGTTCCCTCTGCCAGACTCGTCCCCGGCTCGTCTTCCCCCTCGTTCCCCTCCTGTGTCCCCTCCTCTGTCTCCTGACCCGACGCCGCCCTCACACGTCTGGTCTCGCCGCCCCTCTCGTGCTCGTCCTGTCTCCCCTGTCCCGCGCTCTCACCCTATGTTGCTCCGTTCCCACGCGTCTCGACTCCCCTCCTCCGTCTCCTCCTCCGTCTTCTCTTGTCGTTGCGTCTCCTCCTCTGTCCGACTCCTTTCGTGCCGCTCGTCCTCTTGTTCCTCGGGTCCTTGCCTCTCTCGTTACCGACCCGTCTGTTCCCGTGTCGAGTCTTGACGCCCTCGTCGCTGCGGTCGCTGACTTCGCCTCTACCCGCCGCCTTGACTACGCCACCGCTCTGGTCTCTCACCCTGCCTGTCCTCCGTCTGTCGGGGGTGCTCCTGCCCTCGGCAGTGACGTCCTGGAGGACCGCCAGTTTGAGCTTGCTTTCCTGTCCGAGGCTGCTCCCCATCTCTGTTCCATGCTGCTAGTCCCTGAGGGTGACCCAGACGCTTTCGACATCCCGACCCCTCGTACTTACGCTGAGGCGGTTTCGGGACCCTGGGCCTCTCAGTGGATAGCTGCCATGGAGCAGGAGATGGCATCTTGGAGATCCACCGGCACCTTCGTCGACGCAGTTCCCCCACCTGGGGTGAACGTGGTCGATGGCCGTTGGCTCTTCAAGGTGAAGCGCCCTCCTGGAGAGCCGCCTGTGTTCAAGGCGCGCTACGTGGCTAGAGGCTTCAGTCAGCGCGAGGGGGTGGACTTCTTTCAGACTTTCGCTCCTACCCCGAAGATGACTACTCTTCGGGTGCTGCTACACGTAGCGGCTCAGCGTGACTACGAGCTTCACTCCCTCGACTTCTCCACTGCCTTTCTTCAGGGCAGCCTTCACGAGCAGGTCTACCTGCGTCGCCCTCAGGGCTTTACTGGCACCTTCCCCCCTGGGACCCAGTGGCTTCTGCGGCGGCCAGTCTACGGCTGCGCCAGGCGCCTCGTGAGTGGCACGACACTTTGCGTGCTACCCTTGCTGACCTGCAGTTCTTTCCGTCCTCTGCAGACCCCTCTCTCTTCGTTCGTGCTGGCTCGACTCCGTTCTACATCCTCGTCTACGTAGACGACCTGGTCTTTGCCACTGCTGACAGGGACGCACTGGCCTCCGTGAAGGCAGAGCTGCTGAAGAGACACACCTGCACTGACCTTGGAGAGCTGCGCGTTACCTTGGCTTGCAGATCTCCAGGGACAGAGCCGCGCGCACCATCACCCTGACTCAGTCACACTTGGTGCGCCAGGTCCTTCAGAGGTTCGGCCTTCAGTTCTCCTCCGCACAGCCCACCCTCTTCCTCTGGACCACAGACTCTCCGCTCCAGTTCCTGAGGAGTCGGTAGATCCCAGTGGTCCTTACGCTGAGCTAGTGGGTTGCCTCATGTACCTGATGACTTGCACTCGCCCAGATCTCGCATACCCTCTCAGCATCCTGGCTCGTTTCGTGGCCACAGGCAGGCACCGACCTCCAGCACTGGTCTGCCGCTAAGAGGGTTTTGCGTTATCTTGCAAGTACATCGGGCATGGGGTTAGTGCTAGGCGGACGCAGGCCAGTGGTCCTTACTGGACCACAGACGCTTCTTGGGCAGACGACGCCGAGACGCTCAGGTCTTCCCAGGGCTACTGCTTTAGCCTTGGTTCAGGTGCTGTCTCGTGGAGAGCTACCCGCTCTTCGTCTGTTGCCCAGTCCAGCTGTGAGGCCGAGATCTACGCCGGTGCCATGGCGGCACAGGAGCTCCGCTGGCTGACCTTCTTGCTCACTGACTTAGGTGAGCGGCCTAGCTCTGCCCCGGTCCTGTACGCTGACAACAGGGCCATGATCCTCCTGTGTCAGGAGCCTCGACTCGAGGGCAGAGCGAAGCACATCCAGCTGCGGTACTTCCTCCTGCGTGAGCTACAGCAGCGTCGCCAGGCTCGCGTAGTACACTTGGCCTCCGGTGCCAACACAGCTGATATCTTTACGAAGGCGCTTGCGCCTAAAGATCATCAGCGGCACTGTGTGCAGCTTGGTCTGGTTCCTGTAGTCTCTCACTTACTCGGGCCTTGACTCTGTACTGTCCTATATATCTGTGTGTACACTCAGACTGGACTTGTGTCCTCTTACAGTGGTTGGACTAGTAGTGCCGCCCTGTACTAGTTCTTGCCTTGCCTGTACTCCTTCTGACTGGTCTTTTAGACCCTTGTCTCAGAGGCTGGACTAGTAGTGCCACCCTGAGCTGCTTGTCTAGAACATTCCCCTATGCAGTCCAGGGGGTGTGTCAAACATGTTTAGTTATCATGCTTGTATAGACTGTATAGGGTTATCTTCTAGAGAGTACAACATTTAGGCATATGTTTGTGTTCTCTCTCCTACTATTCATCAATTTCACTGTTTGTTAACTAAGTCCAGCTGTGAAGACTTGAGCCTTTGAGTAGTGCAGCGGAAGTTGAGACGGTTGAACCCTTGTACTAGTATGTGAGAACAAGTGATTGATTAAGGAAACAAGCATACAGCAATATATAGAAGATAAGAAAGCAGTTGTAGAGTACAGTTACAGGGACGGTTTATCGAGTCGCACAGCGACTCGATTGCTGCTTCGGTTACCATCCATGATGCTGTAACGGTCAGTCGCAACTCCAGTTGCGACCTTTCGCATTCTTTGTCCGCCCCCTCGTGTAACCTCCGTCGACTCGCGTGCTCCCTTGTAGTCTTCCTCGAGTGTAGTGTTATACTTCAGAAACGCTTAAGTTCTTTGAGATATTTCCAACATGTTGCAAGGAACAACTGTCAAGGCTTACCTACAGGAAAGCGTCAGGCGGGAGTGAGTGACCCCTAAGGGGTACCGTGGTAGGAGGTTTGAGGTACCATCAGAGCATGTTTGATGTCGCAGGCTATGGCCCAACTGCCGAAAGTTACTGCTCCTTGCCCGCGTGCTGCATTGGACCACTGCTTGCTGCATCAATCCCATGGTTGTTGCGTCCATCCCCCCTTCCCGCACAGCTACCCAGGGATAGGGTTTGAAGGGTAATTCACCCTGATTACCCTTACCAGCGGCCACTTTTTGGAGTATACCCTGATTTTATAAGGGTAAAAATGTGTTTTGAGGCCAAATTTGCCCCTAGCACCCTTACAAATCAGGGTGAACTCATGAGAATACCCTGATTCCTAAGGGTGCCCCAAAACCAATTCCGGTCCCTGAGCTACCCCCTCTTCCCATACCCACCGCGGCTCTTCTCCTGTGTCCCATCCGCCAGCATCTTCAATTTCTGGCCCTTCTGCTGCTGCTTGCCCGCCTGCTGCTTCAACCTCTTCCCCCCCCTTATCCCCTCTCCCCATAGCCACTGCGGCTCTTCGCCACAGATCCGTCTGCCAGCATCAACAGGATCCGGTCCTTCTGCTGCACAGTGCCTGCCTGCTGCCTCGGACCACTGCTTGCTGCGTCAATTCCCCCCCTGACCCGCATGTCCACCCTCGCTTCCCATAGCCACTTCCGCTCTTCTCATGGGATCCATCCGCCATTCTGCTGCTCCTTGCCCGCCTGCTGCTCCTTGCCCGCCTGCTGCTCCTTGCCCGCCTGCTGTTCCTTGCCCACTTGCTGCATCTGATCTGACGAGTGCTTGCTGCGCCGATCCCTCGATAACCCAAACACGTTACCCTCTCTTCCCATACCCAATACGGCTCTTCTCCTGTGATCCGTCCGCCAGCATCTTCAGGATTCGGTCCTCTTGCTGCTGCTTGCCCGCCTGCTGCATCGAACCACCCCCCCCTTCCCCTACCCCCTCTTCCCATGCCCACTGCGGCTCGTCTCCTGCAAACGACCCGCCAGCAGCATCTTCAGAATCTGGTCCTTCTGCTGCTGCGTGCGCGCCTGCTGCATCAGCCTCTCCATCCCCTTTTTACCCTCTCTTCCCATACCCACTGCCGCCACGCGGCTCTTCTCCTGCGATCCGTCTGCCAGCATCCTCAGAATCCGGTCCCTCTGCTGCTCCTTGCTCGCATTTACCTTGGTGTACCAACCCCAACCTGACCCATTCACTGTTAACCCCTCTTCCCATACCCACTGCGGCTCTTCTCCTGGGACCCATCCGCCAGCATCCTCAGAATACGGTCCTTCTGCTGATCCTTGCTCGCCTGCTGCATCTGCGCCTTCCAATCCAACGGCTTCCGTGGTCCACCCCCTGCCCCTCCTGCTCCTCCCATGCCCATGCCACCACCCATGCCACCGCCCATCCCCCCCCCACCACCCATGCCACCACCCATCCCCCCCCCACCACCTCCTCCCGGCCGGCTGGACATGCCCCCTCCTGTGCGGGATGCTGCACTGCCACTGCTGCTACCAGCGTAACCACTAGCACTGTAACCACCGCCGCCGCCACCAGGAGCACCATAGCCACCACCACTGTAACCACCGCCACCCGCCAGCAACATTAGCAGGGCCAGCAGGTCGTCTCACAACACCCCCACCAGGGCCCCCGTCTTGCCCCATCTGCCTATCCCCCACCCGCCTTGGCCTCTCCCATCCCCCTCCCCCTCCCCCTCCCCTGCCATCCCCCATCCCTCCCGCCCTCCCCCTTCGTCCCCACCTCCCCTCTCCCTACCATCCCTCATGCGAGCAGCATCACCCCAGTCATCTTCAGCCATTGATCTCGGTCTCGGGACTCTAACAGACATGGGGCCAAACGTGTCCGTATGGGGAGGGTACTGCCCCCCATCCCCCCTCCCCCTCCCCCTCCCCCTCCCCCACCCCTCGTCCTCCTCCCCCCTCTCCTGCCCCCCACCCGTCTCTCTGCCCCACCCGTGCCACGTCCATATCATCAGCATAGTGCAAGGGCGACGTCCGCCGAGCCTGACCCTTAGGTCCGGTAGCCGAGCCTGCGGTATCCCTACCTGGCGTCCGGATATCCTTCTGAGACTTGGATCCCACGGCAAGCACGTCCGGCATGCCTCTACCTGGTCCCCCGGCTGCCGAGCCTCCACCGTCCCTACCTGGAGGCCGGATGTCCTTTTGAGACTTGGAGCCTTGGACAAGCACGTCTTGGGTGCCTCTACCCGCTCCCCCTCTCACCCCTCCTCCTCGCCCTCCTCCCCCTCCCATTCCCCCCCTCCCATTCCCCCCCCTCCCATTCCTCCCCCTCCCATTCCTCCCCTCCCATTCCTCCCCCTTCCATTCCTCCTGTTGACGCCCTTCTGGCAACGTCCGCCCCCTCTCCACTTCCTCCTCCCCATTCCCTCCTCCTCCCCCCCCTCCTTCCCATTCCCCAGCAGACCATTCCCCCCCTCTCCCTCTCCCGCCCCCTCTACTCCCCCCTCCCTGCTCCACCCCTCCAACGTTCCCTGGCCTGCCCCTTTCTCCTCTATCTCCCCTTTCTCCTCTATCTCCCCTTTCTCCTCTATCTCCCCTTTCTCCTCTATCTCCCCTTTCTCCTCTATCTCCCCTTTCTCCTCTATCTCCCCTTTCTCCTCTATCTCCCCTTTCTCCTCTATCTCCCCTTTCTCCTCTATCTCCCCTTTCTCCTCTATCTCCCCTTTCTCCTCTATCTCCCCTTTCTCCTCTATCTCCCCTTTCTCCTCTATCTCCCCTTTCTCCTCTATCTCCCCTTTCTCCTCTATCTCCCCTTTCTCCTCTATCTCCCCTTTCTCCTCTATCTCCCCTTTCTCCTCTATCCCCCCTTTCCCCGGGGAACACGTCTTCATCGAACAAGGGTGCCGGCCGAGTGCCCCGGGCAGACATAGGACCGAACCGGGCAGCCTGAAACTCCGCATCTTGGCCTGGCTGCGATCGTCTAGAGCTGGGATTAAGGGCTCCCTTGCCCCTCCCATGGCTGTACACAGCGGTATCGTCAGCAGCAGCAGCAGCAGTAGAATTAGAAGCAGCAGCAGTAGCACCAGGAATGTCGTACAGATCTAAGCTGGTAATTGTGAGCTGCGCGGAGGCAGAGCGCTTGCTGGCAGGTCGGTTCAAAGAGCGCATGGGTGAAGCTGAAACTACGGTGGAGGGTGACGGGGGGATCCCAAGGTCCTGTGGGGGGTCGGATGAAGAAAGAGGAAAGAGCGAACCAAGGGCGTGTTGTTTCGCCAATGTTGATAGCCAAGGGAATACTGATGATTCAGTATGTGTGGGTACAATGGCAGGCATGGTTTAACACATTTAAGGTTTTATCGCATTTCAACTCTCATCATTTCGCATGTCATTGCATCAAACCAAGACACTCCACACCTTGTTATTGTCGGCTTCTGACAGAGGCCGTCCCAGCTCGGATCCATCTGCCCCTATCTGCGACCCAGGCTGTGCTCTAGGGGACGCCAAAGGCGAAGGGCTGCGGCCGTGCGTCGGCTCTGACACCTGTGACGGCGGCCGCAGTGGCTGGGCTCTAGGGGATGCCAAGGGCGACGGGCTGCGAAGAGCTCGTTGTGTATCTGAGCCCGTTGAGCTCTTGCTCGCCGCCAACAGCTGCCCGCTTCCCCTCCCCCTCCCCCCTCCTCCCTCTCTCCCACCCGCCCTGCCTCCAAGTCACTCCCTCCCGCCAGCTGGATGCTCTGCTGCCGGCTGGCAGCCCAGCCTGCCACGTCAGCATCCAGCGGGCCTCGCTCCGTCTCCTCATCTCCCCATTCCTCTGCCTCCCCTTTCCCCTCCGCCTCCTCTTGCTCCATCTCTTCCTCATACTCCTCTTCTATATCCTCATCCACCCAATACCCTCGCTCCTCCTCCTCCTCCTCCTCCTCCTCCTCTTCCTCCTCCTCTTCCTCCTCCTCCTCCTCCTCCTCATCGCTATCATCGTCCTCTTCCTCCTCCTCCTCCTCCTCCTCCTCCCCTCCCTCCGCCACCCCCTTCTCAAGCCCCTCCTCCTCTGCCGTCTCACTTATATCAAGTCCTCGCATCCCGGCAGCAACAGCAGCGACAGCAGCGCCACCAGCAACGCCAGCGGAATCAGCACCCACTGCTGCAGCAGCAACCGTTGCCGTCCGCTGGTCTTTAGGCATACTCGCACTTGCCAGAGGCTTCCCTCCCCTTCCTAACCCCCCTCCCGTTCCCCCTCCCGTTCCCCCAACCATTCCCCCTCCGCCATCCGCTTTCATGCTCCTGCTACCGGCTGCCACAAATTTACTTTCCACTGCTGCCCGATCCCCCTTATTTTCACGCTGCCCGAACGACTGAGCACCGCTGGAAAGCTGCGACCTGTCTCCCGGCGGCTTCCCCCTTCCCGCTCCTTTGTCTCCCTGCTTCCGCGGCTCTTCCGCTTCGCCTTCCTTGGGCTTTAATCCCTTCATATCCACGCATTCGCCCTGCGTGTTCGTCTCCTTTTTCGAGGATTTCTTTTTCTCCTTGGATTTAGACTTGTGTCGGACAAACATTGTGGGTAAATCCTTAGGCAGCGGCTTTTTTTTCTGCCCGAGCAAAGTCCCCCCGACGCTTTCCGCAGCGCCCGCGGCGCTATTAAACACTTTCCGGAACGAAAACCCCGCGCGAGGCGCGGCGGCAGTTGTGGCGGCGACTGCTGCGCTGGCTTGTGCCACGTCACCGTCACCCTCCACGTCAGCGTCCCACGTGGCAACCTCCACGTTATCGCTAAACCGCAGCTTTTTTTTCGGCTCCAATAGCTGCCCCGTGACGCGTGCGCGTAGCTTACTATAGCTCGATATGGCAGGCTTTAATCCGGGGTATTTCCGCAACTGCACCCGCGGTCGCGGGCGCAAGCGCACACCTTTCCCCTTCCCCGCGCCTCTGCCCGCCGCCACCGCACCTCCAGCGGACTTGGCTGGCGGAGCTGCGCCAGGGCCCCCTGCGACTCTCTGCGCCGGCGGAGCGGAAGAGGGAGCGGAAGTTCCCCTGAGCGGCCGCGCTCTCCCGCGGCCCGCCGTGCTACCGCCGCCTCCGCCGCCACCGCTGCTCCCGCCTCCGCCTCCGCCAATGGCGCTGGAAGGGCCGCGCCGAGCGGTACTGTTCATTGCGCTTCCGCCGCCAACGCTGCCGGGGAAGGCGTTCGGGGGACCGCGGGAGGGTGGCGCACCAGCAGCGCGCCTCCGCGAGTCCTCCATTGGCGGAAGCGGAAGTATGGGGATGGGCTTTAAGGTCAAGGACGGTTAAACATACAGCTACTACGGGAAAGTTGCTGGGGATGGGCTTTAAGGTCAAGGACAGTTGCTGGCACTAGGGGAGGAAGCAAGCGAGGAGGTCAAGCGCGAGGCGGGAAGTCCAGGGATGCGGTGTGAAGCGCAAGGCGGGTCGGCACTTGGTGCACAGTAAGGGGACGGCTCGCTGCTGGGGAGAGGCAGCAAGCGAGGAGGTCGCGCTTGCTAGAAGCCTAGGGATCGCAAGGAGGATCGGAACTTGGCACAAAGTAAGGGGACGGTTAGCTCCCGGGGAGAGGCAACAAGCGAGGAGGTCAATCGCGCTAGCTGGAAGGACGCATGACGCACGAGAATATGCCTCTAGCAGCGATCGTACTCTACCGGTTCTTAATATAAAATTAAAGACCGATACGAGTTGAAGTAATAAACTTAAGTTGGATTAAAAACCGCCATTCCTAAGAAAGTGAGTTTGTGGAGAACCAATACGAGTTGAATTAATAATATGAACGCGACGATCACGCACTGGCCGAGAAAAAATCCACCGCGCGAAGCGGAAAATAGAAACCGTGGGGATATTACCAAATGCCAAAGCGACACTTGTGTCTGATTTTATGGAATACTACGGTACTGTACACGGCGGCGAAATTGAAATCACTCTCAGCTGTCTGTTGAGGTGAGGAGGGAGATAGACATTGGCAACTTGACATTGCCATGGCAGACAGAGCAACCACACAACACAATCCGTGGAGTGGAGGCTCGATATTTGATTACCTGTAGCGGCAGCCATTGCCTGCCCAACAATTGTCCTGTCCAGTCTAAGGGCTGATCCCTGCGCCGTGTCAGCCCACAAATGACACCCGAATTTGCCCCTAAGCTAGGTTGAGTTGAACCTAGCTTACAGACAAATTTGGGTGTCATGCGCGGGATGACACGACGCAGGAATACGCCCTAACCATTTGCCCAAGCTTGGACAATGATATGCATAGCCCAACCAACAACCACCGCACCACACCGAACCACACAACACCACACCAGGTGCAGGTAAGTTGACCACCACGTTTCTCGTCAACCACAACACCACACCGCGTTATGACGAGAAACGCGGTGGTCAACTCTCCTGCACCTGGCGATCTCAATAATGCTCGGTTTGGTTTGAGAATCATACAGCCGTCCGATAGACACTGCCTGCTGCATAATCCAACGGCTCATTGGATTGGTTTCGGTTCATCGTGACGCTGATTGGTGGTAGGCTGCCTGCCAGGTTTCGTTTCCTCTGCAGGCAGGCGGGCAGCCCCTCACTCGGCGTTCTCGAAGCCCTCAATCAGATTATCTACAGAACTGTAACATATGATCACGGACTCCCAATCACGTGACTGGACCAAACCGTACAGTACCACGCGTTAATCTAGCTGAAACACGCCAGAACCGTTTTCCAAAATCTGTACCGTTCTGACCATTCGAACGGTGCCCCGTTCGTGATTGTATGCAATGCACCACGCCCTCGAGTCAACCTTCCCTCGATTTCCTGATTTGTGCCAGGAAGAATCTCCTCTGCCTCATCTACGCGGTAAAGTGCAACGAGGGAGAAGAACACGTCAAGGCACTGGGCGGCACTGGGCCTTGCGTGCAGCTCTCTCCCAGTAAGGGGGCCAGAGGTTGACAGAGAAGAGGCAGCAGCCAGAGAGCTTTCCCAGATCACCCAGCCGCTCCTTCAAGTTCGACACCATGCCTGTCGCCATGGCCACGCAGAGATCCCGGCACGTCGTGATCGCCCTCCCCCGGATAACCGAGCAAGCGATCTTGATACAGCACGAAGGTAAAGGAAGCTGGGCGGCCTTCGGAGTCGACGCCCTCAGCGGTGACCTCGCAAGAACCGCCCGGGCCGTGACGGGTGAGGAAGATGGTGAGACGGTCTTTCGGTCCCCCGCCGAAGTCTTCGCCGTCCCCGTAGCGGCTTTGCAACAGGGTTGTTGTGCGGATGATCTACGCGTGGACGGCCGAGTACTCCAACTGAGGTTGGGGTGGGGAAGAGGGGGAGGAGGGGAGGAAGGGCGGGGAACGTGTATGTACATAACCAGGGTGATTTAGTAACGACTCAATGTCACGGTAACGAAAAACTCACCTGACGCTCCTAAGAAGGACTTGTTGAGGATTTTGCTCCAGTACGTCAGCAAGGAACATGACAAGGAACCAGAAGCGGTAGCTTGTGACTATCCTGGAGAGCCGGGTATCCGTCCACTCTGAGAGCATGACGATTATGGCGGGTGGAACCTTGAATAACATAATGACAGCCTCACAGTGGGAGAGCCATCGGAAGTTATGAATGCCTTGAAGTTCGAGGTTCGTCGAGGTGAAGATATCCTGCAGGTCCAAGAAGCGCTGGTGCCATGGGCCCGAGCGTCCGAACTACTCAGCGAGCTCCTTGATGACATCATCAACCATCTTGAACGCTGGCAAGGAATCCGCCGCTACTTTAGCTGTCAGTGCCTCTCTGGAGGGTGGGATAAAACGAACAGAAAATGGTACATGTTGGGCCTTGGGAGTGGGGTAATACACATTGCACATGCGGAAACCACCAGTGCACTTAACCCGAGGTACAATAGCGATAAACAACAAGGCTCACCTGTGCACAATACAGACGCGCGACACCAAGTGCGAAATCTGCATCCGCAGCCGCGTCACAAGCCCAGCCTTCGACCCCATCATTACGGCAACGCCATCGGTGCTTATGCCCACGACCCGCCGGAGGTCGACACCGATGGCGTTAAGGTGAGTCAAGAGCAGAGCGAGCAGAGAAGCAGCGTCGGCCTTGTCGACGCTCAGCAGGGCCAGGTATTCGCAGACGAGGTGGTTGTCGCGGATGAAGTGCGCAAACACGATAAGGTGCTTACCGCGGCAGCAGTCTGTGCTCTCATCGATGCTCAAGCTGATGAACGGGCTCCTCAGAAGGTGGTCCAACTGTGTTGTCTACAGCTAGGTTGCCATGGACTGTGTGAACTCCCCGTACCCATAACTGCAGCAGCGAAGGGCATACGCATAATTAGTATGCTGAAATATAAACATTCGTTATGCATGATAGATGCATGCAAAACAAAATTAAACAACACACAAGAATACATGTTGTAGTACGCGCCATAGGTCTGCTCGGGGAAGTGCTCGTGCCGACGTTTGCTGAGGTAGCGCACGAGCCTGATCCAGTTTTCCATCGGCTCGTTGCCTTTGCAGCAAAACTAGAGCGCGTCAAGCAACGCGGTCACACACTCTTTCTCTAGGTCTGCGGCTTGAGGAAGCTGGTCGATCCGCATCTGGTTGGTTACGTCCTGCAGCACCGCCTGCTGCTTTGTCACGGCTAGGCGATGCTTGGCCGACCCCGCGTGCCTGTTGAATGCCTGCGACTGCGCGTCCGTCAGCCCTGTACCGCGTTTGCCGGCTTTCCCTCTGAGTCCTGCATGCTCAAGGCACATACTGCATTTAAACGCAGGGAATCCAGCGTCATTTTTAACAATCATAAGCCAACCGCTAGGACCACCGCGTATTAAACCTGTTGAGGGCTTCGCCGTAGACATCCTCAGGTGATCGAGACTTGTTGGGTGCAGCAGTAGGGTCGTCGCCATCGCTGTCGTCGTCTTTGCACATGGCTGAGGGGCGGGGCATCGTCGGCTGACCGCCTGGGAAATTCCACTGGGTGGTTCGCCGGTATCGACCGCACAGGGGTGGTGGAACCTGTACTACAAGTAAAAGCATCAGCCAGCGATGGGCCCGGACTAGGCGCGGAAGTCAGCTCGACAACAGCTTGAGAAGTTGTGGCGACCGACTGCAAGGCGCATAGGGGGTTCTGTTCCGTCGGAGGGTTACGAGGAGCCTTTGGGAAACTACCTAGCGTCGAAAGGAGCATGTCAAACCCAGTGCGGGCATCGGTGTTAATTATATATTATGTTATATAATTGGTAGGCTTGGTAGGTTACTGAACTCTACTGAAGAGGGTACAACTCCCTCCTTGTATGCCTCTCTCTTCCTAGTCTCTCCTCTTTTCTCTCGTCAACTTTCTCCTTCCTAAATCTCACGCCATTTCATGGTCGCCTACCTTCCTAGCTAACATAGCTTCTTAACATGGTATCAGAGCAGGCCCTTTTCGCTGGGGCCTTCTCATCAAGCTTCCGCAGCGTACTCCCCCTCCCCCCCCCCCCTCGTCCCGCCGCGCTGGCCCCGTCACTCCGCGCTGGCCCCGTCACGCCGCGCTGGCCCCGTGACGCCGCGCCGGCCCCGTCACGCTGCGCTGGACCCGTCACCCCGCTCTGGCCCCGTCACGCCGTGCTGGCCCCGTCACGCCACGCCGGCCCCGTCACTCCGCGCCGACCCCGTGACATCGCCGTGCCTCAGTGCCTTAGTGTCGCCGTCCCGTCATGCTGCCATGCCACGGTGCCGCCGGGCCGCCGTGCCGCTGTGTCGCCGTGCCATCGTGCTGCCGTGGCGGCTTCGCCATGCCAGCGCACGGACAGCTGCGGCCAGCGCCCTGTCCTAGGCGCCAGTCGTAACGCCCTCACACCAGTAAGCGTCGCGCCACCCATGGTGCCTCGCTGAAGATTCTCCCTCTCCCGCCAGTAAGCGCCGCGCCACCCATGGCGCGTCGCTGAAGATTCGCGCCCCCCCCCCCCCCCCCCCCCCCCCTTCCCCTGCGTCTCCTCTTCCTCCTGCCGCATCTGATGTCTTCTACCCGGTCGTCGCCTCGCCGTGCCACACCGCCGAGAGCCTTCAGCCATGGCCGTTGCCCGCGCTGCCTCTCGCCGGAGGATGTCACCATGCCAAGCCCGAGGGATAGATACCTGGCTGATCTCGAGCATGGGGGTGTAAGGGGTTAGGGGGTGTGTGTGTTGGGTGGGCTTGTGACTACCAAGCCTAGGGGGTGTATTAAATGATATATTGTGTTATATAATTGGTAGGCTTGGTAGGTTACCGAACTCTAGTGTGGAGGGTACAACTCCCTCCTTGTATGCCTCTCTCTTCCTAGCCTCTCCTCTTTTCTCTCGTCAACTTTCTCCTTCCTAAATCTCACGCCATTTCATGGCCGCCTACCTTCCTAGCTAACCTAGCTTCTTAACATTCGGCACGGTGACTGCCGCTGTCGTCGCCATCGTCGTCCAATTCCACGTCGCCTGACTCAGGCATGAGGACGGGGCTCACCAGGGTGGTCGACGAGCAGAGACACGTGACGGAGTGGTTGTAAAACAAAAACACTACAGGGGGAAGGTCACGCTGGGAGAGGCTGAAGTAGTGGCTGTTTCTACCGTGGGAAGAAACATATGAAGAAGACGCAGGGGGGAAAGGGAACGATGGCGAGGCGCGAACAGTTAACCAGCCACGCACTGTTGGCTTCCTGGATTCCTGAATCCGGACCGAAACTAGCGCGGCGCATGCGCGTCGGCGTCGAACCGGTGTGTGGTGTTGAAGCTGGGTCGTCATCGCTGGCGTACACGTTTCCGTCAGTGATTAGCTATTCAGGCAGCATTTACATGGGCAACCAATCCACGCATGCAGCCAAACAGTGTGCTGGCCGACCCTCAAACCAAACTTTGAGAAGGACCAATGCCGTGAGGCAGCGCGGCAACATGTGAGTCACCAAACGATGCCTGCAGGCGGGAACCTGGCAGCCAGGCCAGATTTATGGGGGAATATGCGCATATCGCTGTAATTTTGGGGGGGACCCGGAAATCACGCCTTAGACAAAATCAGAACCCATGCTCGATACAAGTCTGAAATTTCAGGATCCCTTGCAAAAAAAAACTGAGCTGACAAATATCCCTTACAAAAAAACCCTGAAATTCCAGGAAATGCCAAAAACAAAACCCTAGTAAATCAGGGCTGGTACCCCTCAACACCCTGTTTTTTTCCTGAATCAGGAAATTTTTCCTGACTTCTGGGGGCCTGGTCACTACTCTACCCCCTGCCAGCTGATGTATGTACCCCCTTCACATGGGCGCACGCATGCCTGACAGCACATGGATGTAAGCCAGCCAGCTCATTAGTGCCTTGCCTACGCTAGCTAATACCAGCTACCCCAACAACAGCATCATACTAGCAACAAACAGCATCCTCCTTGTGCCTTGGGACCTGCTCACTGCCCGCCAGCTCATGTCCTAGCCCAGCTGCATAGCGGCTACCCCCATACCAGCATCATAGCAGCACACAGCATCCTCCTTGTGCCTTGGGAGCTCCATCGCCCATCCCCCCACCACCACTGCCATCCAGCTTCCCTCCTCCACCGTTCCCCTTCGCACCACCATCACCCCCCTCCTGCTCTTTCCTCCTCCCTGTCTCTGCCTCCTGCCGCTCCTTCACTCTCCGCGCCTCCTCCTCCCTCCTCTCCCTCTCCTTCTCCTCCCTCTGCTCCCTCTCCTGCCGCTGCCTCTCTCGCACCGCCTCCTGCTTCCCCTCCCACTCCACGACCGCCTCAGCCGCCGCCTCACATATCTCCAGCAGCGCCGGGATCACCTCCTCCGTCAGATCCGGCCGATCTCGGCGGTCCATCTCGGCGCACCAAAGGCCGAGATTCGCTAGGTCCATCGCGAGGTTCGGGGGCCACTCCCCAGCCCTGGGATCCAACAACACCGCCAACTCCTCCTTCTCCACCGCAGCGTCGATTCTCCTCGGGTTCGGAACATCCCCTACCAACATCTGCAGCAGCACGATGCCAAACGAGTACACGTCGGATTTCGGCCCGAGGTACCCTCGTCTGGCGCATAGATACTCGGGGTCGACGTAGTGCTCGGTGCCTACGATGACTGATTTCCGCACCACGTGCGAGTGGCCCGGGGCGAGGTCCCCCATGAGGCGCGCCAGCCCCACGTCCCCGAGCTTGGCAGTGAAGTTGTCGTCAAGCAACACGTTGGCGGGCTTGACGTCCCGGTGCACTATGGGGGGCTTCCGCGTGTGCAGATGCTGCAGGCCCGCTGCCACCTGTTTGGGTTAGTGGGGAGATGGAAGGAGAAAAAGGCAAGGGAAGGGTTGGGTAAGCAACAGGGGAGAAAGGGCTACGTCCCCTATAAGGTCCCCCATGAGCCTCGCCAGCCCCACGTCTCTGAGCTTGGCAGTGACGTTGTCGTCCAGGAGCACGTTGGCGGGCTTGACGTCCTGGTGGACTATGGGTGCTGCAAACCCGCTGCTACCTGGCAGTTGGGCGGGACGGAGAGGAGAAAGGTGGATGGGAGAGTCAGAGCCGAGCCAGGTCCCCCATGAGGCGTTACAGCCCCACGTCCCCGAGCTTGGCAGTAAAGTATTCGTCCAGGAGCACGTTGGCGGGCTTGACGTCCCGGTGCACTATGGGGGGCTTCCGCGTGTGCAGGTGCTGCAGGCCTGCTGGCACCTGGTGTGAGGGGGGAGAGGGCAGACAAGGAAGGGGGGGATTGATTGAGAAGCCCATTGGCAAGACGCGGCGTCAATTCCACAACCTCAGAAGCGTGCAGAGCTGTGTACATTCCACAACCACAGAGCATGCGGATGCAGTCCCCCATTCTTCCAATCCCCCATGCATCCCCCCCCATGCATCCCCCTCCCCCATGCAAATCCCCCCACCATGCATCCATCGCCATGCATTCCCCCCCCCATGCATCCCCCCCCCATGCATCCCCCCTCCATGCATCCTCCCCTCCCCCATGCATCCCCCCCGCCCGCATCCCCCCCCATTCATCCCCCCATGCATCCCCTCCATGCATCCCCCCATGCATCTCCCCCCCATGCATCCCCCCCTCTTCCGCATGCCCCCCAATTCATCTCCCCATGCATCCCCCCCATGCATCCCCCCCATGCATCCCCCATGCATCCCCCCATGCATCCTCCCCATGCATCCCCCCATGCTTTGACTCACCGAAGACACAGACACACAGCAAGCACCGCGGCCATGACCTTGACTCACCTCCAGGCCAATCCGTCACCGTTCCTGCCACATGAAGGGCGGAGTGCCGCCCACACAGCATCACCACTTGCACCATCTCCCACCTCCATGGCTATTTGGCACCACTCGGGCCACATGAGGGGCGGCGTGCATGTGCAGCACTCACAGGCTACATCCCACACCCCACGCGTTGCAGTCACCCACAGGCTACATCCACACCCGTGACGCTACAGTCACCTACACCTCTCACCTCCATGGCTATTCTGCACCTCTCGGGCCACATGAGAGGTGGTGTGCCGCCCATACAGAACCACCACTTGCACCAACTCTCACAATTCTCACCCACAGCTCTCACCTCCATGGCTATTCTGCACCTCTTGGGCCACATGAGAGGTGGCGTGCCGCCCACACAGAATCACCACTTGCACCAACTCTCACAACTGTCACCTACAGCTCTCACCTCCATGGCTATTCTGCACCTCTCGGGCCACATGAGAGGTGGCGTGCCGCCCACACAGAATCACCACTTGCACCAACTCTCACAACTGTCACCCACAGCTCTCATCTCCATGGCTATTCTGCACCTCTCGGGTCACATGAGAGGTGGCGTGCCGCCCACACAGAGCATCCTGTCCTCCAGAGAGTCGTTGGATAGGAACTCGTAGACCAGCGAGCGGTCCTCCGATGACTCACAGCACACAACTCACAGCACACACAACACAGAGACAGAGCAAGTGTCGTTGCCATGCGTTGACTCACCTCCATGGCTATTTGGCACCTCTCCGGCCACATGAGGGGCGGCGTGCCACCCACACAGAGCATGCGGTCCTCCAGAGAGCCGTTGGAGAGGAACACGTAAACCAGCGAGCGGTCCTCCAATGACACACAACTCACAGGCACAGAGCAAGTGCCATTGCCATGCGTTGACTCACCTCCATGGCTATTCGGCACCGCTCCGGCCACATAAGAGGTGGCGTGCCGCCCACACAGAGCATGCGGTCCTCCAGAGAGCCGTTAGAGAGGAACTCGTAGACCAGGGAGCGGTCCTCCATGCAGTAGCCCAGCAGGCGCACTGCGTTGGGGTGGTCGATCCGCTTCTGCACCTCCACCTGGGGGATCGGAAGATGGGGTTTGGGAGGGGCGTGATTGAGGCATCTCACACAGAGGAACTCGGGCATCAGTGACCAACCCTCCATGCAGGATGAAGTCTAGTTTTCAGGCGGCTCAAAACTATGTGTGAGGAGTCTATTTTTGAGGCACCTCAAAACTATGCGTGAGGAGTCTATTTTTGAGGCGCCTCAAAGATGGGGGTTGGGAGGGGCGTGAGAGAGGCATCTCACACAGAGGAACTCGGGCACCAGTGACCAACCCTCCCACTGAGCCGCTGACCCGCTGACCCGCTGAGCCGCTGAGCCGCTCTCCCACACACACATTCCCCCTCTCTCCATCTCATCCACTGCTGCCTCGGGCTCTTCAGCTGTTTGATCGCCATGGGCTGTCCGTCCAACAGCCCGTTGTACACCAGGCCGTTGCTGCCCTCCCCACAGATGCTGTTCGACACACACTTGCACGCACTCTCACCTCCTCTCTCTCTCTCACACACGCTTACACACCCACCCACCTCTCTCTCGATCTCATCGAGTGCCGCCTTGGCGTCGGGGTTCTTGAGTTGTTTAATCGCCACCGCTTGCCCGTCCAGCCACCCCTTGTACACAACGCCATAGCTGCCCTCCCCACAGATGTTGTTCGGCCAGAAATGGTCCATAGCCGCCTGTAGTTCTTCAAGAGTGTACTGCTTGAAATCTTGCCGAGGGAGCGCGTCGGGTTCGGAGGTGGAGAGGCGGAGAGAGAGGGAGGAGGCGAGGGGGTTTGATGTGGGCGGGTTGGCGATTGTAGGGATGCTGCTGCTGCTCGTGCTGTCTCCTGCTGTGGCTTCTCCCCCTCCTCCTCCCGCTCCTTGTCCTCGTCCTCCTCCTCGTCCTCCTCCTCCTCCTTCTGCTCCTGCCCCTCCTGCCCCTCCTGCCCCTCCTGCTGCTACTGTTCCTGATACTGCAGGTGCGGGGCCACTGCTGTTCTGGCTCAACCGCTTGCTCGACTGCCCCTCTCTCTCCTGAAGCTTCTTCTCCAGCCGCACCTTAGCCGCCACTGGGGGTTTCACCTTCCCCTTCCCCTTACCTGGCGCGCCTCCCCCTGCGCCCCCCCCTGCGCCTTCCCCTGCCCCTCCCCCTGCGCCCCCTCCAGCCGCGCCCCCCTCAGCGTTGGCCTTAGCAGCTGCTTGTAGGCGGTAGTTGCGCCGGGCTAGCTCTAAGGCGGAGAGCCCCTCGTCTCCTGGAGCACTCCCTGCACCTGCTGCTGCTGCCGCTGCTCCCCCACCCCCAGCGGCAGCAGGGGCAGGGGCGGGAGTCGGAGCCAGGGAGGACTCATGTGTGCCGCTGCCCCCCTCCTGTATGCCTGGGAGCTGCTGCTGGAACGCTGGCGTGGCGTACCCCGCTGTGACGGTCTGAGGAAAAGAGGAGAAGAGGGGGCGGGGGGGGTGGGGCAGCAGGAAGGGAGTTGTTGAGGGAATGACCATGGCTTGTATGTGCCGCCGCCCCCCTCCTGCTCCTGAATGCCGGGCAGCTGCTGCTCGAACGCTGGTGCCGCGCCGCATACCCTGCTGTGATGGCCTGTGCATTGCGTGAAATAGACGCAGCAGGAGGAAGAGGAATGAGTAAGAGGGGGAGCATGAGGCAGTGTTTTGTTCTTGAAATCCCTCCAAAACAAAACACATCCTGTGATGGCCTGTGCGTTGCGGGAAACGGACGCAGCAGGTGGAAGAGAAACGAGTAAGGGGGGGAGCATGAGGCAAAAAATAAGAGGGCATTGAATGGGGCAAGTGTGGCGATGACAGGTACAGGGAGGGCAAAGGCGAGAGGGATGTCAGCAGCGGGGAATGCAAGAAGAAAGGCTTACAGAGGTGGCAGCTGGTGGTTTTTGAGTCGCCTCAAAAGGAGAGCAAAGGCGGAAGGCATGACAGCAGCAGGGAATGGAAGAAGAAGGGTTTGCGTTCCCCACTGCTAACATCCCCGCTGTGCAGAGAGGGCTCACAGAGGTGGCACCAGGTGGCTGGCCGGAGGTGATGGTTTTGAGGGCAGTGACTGGGGCGAGTGAGGAGAAGCGGGGAGTGGAAGAAGAAGGGCTCACAGAGGTGGCAGCAGGTGGCTGCCCCCAGGTGATGGTTTTCAGCTTCCTCCCATCCTCAATCACAAAGAGCGTCGCCCCCGGTGGGAGCTTCGATTCGTCAGCAGGTGGGAATGGAGGAAGAAGGGCTTACGGAAGTAGCAGCAGGTGGCTGGCCGGAGTGTTATGAGTCTACTTTTGAGTCGACTAAAAATGGACTCATAACACGCGAGAGATGTCAGCAGCAGGGAGTGGATGTAGGGCTTACAGAGGCAGCAGGTGGCTGGCCCGAGGTGATGGTTTTGAGGGCAGTGACTGGAGCAAGTGAGGAGCAGCAGGGAGTGGAAGAAGAAAGGCTCACAGAGGTGGCAGCAGGTGGCTGGCCCGAGGTGATGGTTCTGAGCTTCTTCCCATCTTCAATCACAAAGAGCGTCGCCCCCGGTGGGAGCTTCGATTCGTCTGAGCACACGTTGATGGTGTGCCACCTGTGCATACGGGAGGCACCCAGGAGGCACACAGGCACACAGGAGGCATTCAGGCGCACAGCACAGGTGACTTTTGAGTCGACTCAAAAGTGCACCCGGTGGCAGGTTTGAAGGTTTGACGCATCTGAGCACGCATTGATGGTGTGCCACCTGTGTATACGGGAGGCACACAGGCACACAGGCACACAGGAGGCATACAGGCACAACAGAGGCATACAGGCACAAAAGAGGCATACAGGCACACAGCACAGCTAGCATGAGTCTTCAATAATGAACAGGGTTGGACCAGCTGGTAGCTTGGACTCGCCCGCTTGCCCGCCCGCTTGTTCGCCCGCCCGCCCGTTCACCCACCCGCTCGTTCTCCTGCCCTCTCGTTCGCCTGCCCGCTCGCCCGCCGGCCCGCTCGCCCATCAGGCCAATCTTAGTGCTTCTAAGGAAGGCCTAGGACTCACCCACTTGTGCATCCCGTGCTTCTAGCCCCTCCCACCCACTTCCCACCCACTCACTCTTCACCAACTCACTGGCTGGCGGCCCTGGCGGCAGCAGAGGCGAGCACGATGTGGGTGGCCTCCAGCTTCGATGCTGCACCCTCCTTCGAGCGACCCCTTGTGCATACCCTGTGATTCTAGCCCCACCCACCCACTCCCAACCTACTCACTGGCTGGCAGCTTTAGCAGCAGCAGAGGCGAGCACGATGTGGGTGGCCTCCAGCTTCGACGCTGCACCCTCCTTAGCGTGACCCTTTGCGCATACCCTGTGATTCTAGCCCCACCCACCCACTCCAAAGATACTCACTGGCTGGCAGCTTTAGCAGCAGCAGAGGCGAGCACGATGTGGGTGGCCTCCAGCTTCGATGCTGCCTCGAGAATGGCGGCTCCCGTGTCCTCGTTCTTGATCACGTGCACCGTTGAAGGTAGCTGGGGGGGGGAGAGTGAATAGAGGGGATAACAGAAGGGAGAACAGGGAATGCGGAGTGAGGATGGCGGCTCCTGTGTCCTCGTTATTTATCACATGCACCGCCGAAGGTAGCTGGGGGGGGGGGGGGGTGGGGGTGGGGGGTGAATAGAGTGTCTTAACCGTTGATCACTACCTCCCTCCCTCAACTGCTTACCTCCGTGTCTTAACCCCCCTTCCTCTCCCCATCCTCCACAGACAGCCTCCCCCCTTCCAAGCCCCTCCCTTCTCCCTTCTTCGGTGCTATACGATTCACCAGCATGCCTCGTGCACCCTAACCCACTCGTCCTTAACGCCCTGCATGGCCTCCAGGAGCGGCAGCACGCAGCATTGAAGTGCGCACAAAACCCCACTCTCCCCATGCCCCTCACCCCACCCACCCCCGCGTCGTCGCTGACGTCCTGCATGGCCTCCAGGAGCAGCAGCACGCGGTCGCAGATGTGCACCATACGGCACACCTATGCACCTAACCCAACCTCTCACCCCAGCATCCGGTCCCACGTATTACCGAATCACTCACCCCAGCGTCGTCGCTGACGTCCTCCATGGCCTCCAGGCGCGGCAGCACGCGGTCACTGCTCCATGCACCTTGCCCCATGCGGCACATCTATGCACCAAGCCCAACCGAATCACTCACCCCCGCGTCGTCGCTGACGTCCTGCATGGCCTCCAGGAGCGGCAGCACGCGGTCGCAGATGTGCACCGCCACGCTCGGGCCGTCCGCCTCCGATAGGCGCACCACATTGCCCGCTGGATGTGTGTGTGGGGGAGGGGGAGGGGGGGGGAGGGGGGGGAAGGGGGGGAAAGGAGGAGGTGGGGGAGACGAGTCGGTCGCAGATGTGTACCGCCACGCTCGGGCCGTCCGCCTCGCTTAATCTCACCACATTGCCCGCTGGAGGAAGCGAAGAGAGGAGAAATGACGGGAGACGGGGGATAAGGGCAACGGAAAGGGGTGTGCTGGCAGCACGCGGTCGCAGGTGCGCACCACCGCGCTCGTCCTGTCCGCCGCGCTTAACCTCGCCACATTGCCCGCTGCATGCGAGGGGGCAAGGGGGAGACGGGGGAAAATGGGGGGGAAGACGGAAGGGGAACCTCAAAATGAAGGGAATAAGCTGCCAGCACGCGGTTTCAGATGACCGTTACCCGTATCATGACCTGCCATCCGTAACTGACACGTCACCTGAGCCACATCAGCAGTCCACGTGGCGAACCTGAGTTGCGGAGCTCGGTGACGACGTGCGTCAGCAGGAGGCAGACGGTTTTGTCTTTCCGCCGGCTGAATTCTCTGATCGTCCATTCTAACGCCTGCCGGCAGTGCTCGTCGTCGCGCATCCCCACCAGCACCCTAATGTCGGACGTCAGATCGGCCGCCATGTTCAATGAATCTAGACGCAACGAAAGGTATGCTATCGAGGAAAGAAATTCTGGTCCAGGTCGAGTCAGCTAGACGTCAACAGTACGACGAAAGCGATACCCATCCCATTAATGAACGCGGTAGAAAGAATAAATTAAATATTAGGACCTTATGATGTAAGCGTGCTTGTGAGGGAGCTAAGGGCGAGTATAAAGTGTAAGAACAACGACGTCATCCGACGTCCCAGCGCGGTACAGCGTTTTCTCACGTCCGAGAAGCTTCTTGTACGTTCAGAATCGGTGACTCGACGTCACAGACGTGACGTCGTACTATTCAACTGCTTGATACGACAACAAAATGAGTCCAATGCAACGGTCACTGGAGATAAGCACAATGCTGATAATTAGGGGACAGGCACATGCAGCGGAGAGGCCTCGATTCTGAAATGGCGGGTGTCTGAAACGGCTGGAATGGAACAATTAGGTTATGAGTCAGCTGCTTACGATGACGAAGGAGCCTATGGTTCCTACGTTCTGTATGATCATGGCTGGCCAAGTGCTATGGGCAAGCAACACCTGCACACGGCATGAGGAGGATTCAGGGCGTGTCCTAAGTGTACGTCCGGATGCGGTTGAGTGAGCTGGATTGCGTTTCAGAAGGATCGAATCATTCCGTAAAACGGTTCAGTAGGGTTTTGGCCAAGAAACGAACGCCTAGGACATACCCTCAGAACTCAGAAAGGACCGTTGATATTTTACAGGTGAACTGTACCACAGGTTTTGGTGATGCCTTTATCGAGGATGCGCGATTTGGCTGCTTTGTTGTCCCATTCACCCAAACCAGTTCCCAAGCCCAGCCAACGGGCCGCCAGGCTTGGTGGCAGAAAACGCTGTTTTGTCAGATTCGCACTGTTCAGTTGCCCTATCCCTCCGTGGTCCCGTGAACAGCATCCAGCAAGGCCAGGATGCGTCAACTGAGATGCGTGGTGACGTGTAATATGGACCCTGCAATGTCCCGCTGTCTCAAGATTCAACATAGGCTCGGTTGGTGAAGCTGCTGGTACTGCGACACCTCACCACTCACCAGCTTCGTGAATACAGAGAGAGCCTTTGTGTATTTCGCCCAACTAGAGGTCGTGTAGCACTCAACGAAGAACAACGAAACCATTGTACAACTTGATGTCACTCTGCAGAGCCTCGAATTGCTCACGCCGAAAGACATTTTTACTTCGTGTCAATTTGAACACTCAAAGTCCCGGACCGCCGCGCAAAACAGAGCCCCTCGCCAAAATTTTCAAGATTGTTTCACTAGTTTCGTTTTCCGGTTCAAAGCTGGTTTGAGCCCGACGAGGACGACACTCCCAAACACAGAATCTGCAGAAACAACAAAGCTAGAGCTGGGTAACCGTGTCGCAGGCGGATGACCTGGTCCGTTGAGATTGGACGGTGGTTGGTGGCTCCTCGCAGCAGATTTGTTTTCAGGCGACTGAAAGAACGGCACAGCACAACCGAAAGTCACCAACCAAACCCCCACAAAACACTGGGCGATATACTGTACAGTACAACGAGCAGCGAATACGACAGGTTGGAGCAAATCCGCTTGCTCCAACTGGGGGAGTTGGAGCAACAACCCCCATACATTCTGCCAGGGAGGGATGATGACTTGGGGGCTCCAGGAACAAGAATCCACACTAGCCCAACGAACGTCGTGATTTACTCGTATAGCTGGTTTCCTTTTCGTTTACGTCGCGCGACGCAGGATCTGCCTGCCACTTTCCCCATTCCCAAGAGACCTCGGCACCTCACCGCACTCCTCTTCCCTTCCCATTCTTCCCACTTCTGGCGGTTCTCCTCCTGGCTGACAACTCCAAACCATGGCATCACCTCCCCCTCGTGTACGCCTGACACACCTCCCCCTAGCAAACCCTTGCCTGCTCCAGTTTGTCAGTCTCAGCAAGGCTCCTGTACTGTGCTCATCATCAGTCAGGCAGGATGTGTAGATTCTAGAACGTGTGGTGGTTGAAGGAGTGACTTACCGCGAAGGAAGAAAGAGGAAGACACGTCGATTCGTATAGGGTTAAAGGAGGCATTGTTAGTAGTGTCCGCCTCGGTACCAGTCTTTACCTGGACTGTACGCCACCGGATTTTCGGGGATCTCTGTGCTAAAACTAGTTTCTCCTTTGAAACGCATTAGGGTTAGCTCGGTTGGGGTCTCATCAGCATCAGCATCGGCATCGGCTTGAGCATCGGCATAAGCATCATGAGGTTACGCGGCGTGCATCAGTCGCTGCTGCTGCTGCTCGTCTGCGCGTTAGCAGCGCAGTTTGTGAAGCTCACAGATTCACGGGTGCTGTCAAGGGCCGAGATTGACAGAATCCAAGGTCAGTCGCGAGTGTTACTAAGAGCCGAAATAGACAGAATGCAAGTTCAATCGGGAGTGTTATCAACAACAGTCGAAATAGACAGAATCAAAGGTTAGTCGCGTGTGCTGTCTAGAGCCGAGATAGTCCAAGGTCATTCGCGAGTGTTATCAAGAGCCGAATTAACCGGAATGCAAGGTCGATCGGGAGTGCTGTCATAGGGCCGAGATAGACAGCATCCAAGATTAGTCGCGAGTGCTGTTTAGAGCCGAAATATATCCAAGGTCGGGAGTTCTGGCGAGAGCCGAGATAGACAGAATCCAGGATTTGTCGCGAGTGCTGTCTAGAGCCGGGATTCGTCGTGGCTACGGTTTTGCTGACGCCAATAAAAGCTCATCTCCATAGCCGAAATCTTGAGAAGCAGTTAGGCCCGTCCTAAAAGCTCCGCCGATAGTTCCTGTGCATCTGAGTTGGTGTCTGAGAATTCTAAAACACCAACTCGCTGATAGTTCCTGTGCATCTGCCCCATCCCAGCGGGGAAGGCCGCCACTTGCAGCCCTGCGCGCTTTTCGAGCCTCCTGAATCATCCACGCTCCCTGCTTCCCCCTCCTCCCCCTCCGTTTGTTCCTTGTCCCGTGCACTCCCTTGGTGCTACCCGCGCTTCCCCTGCCTCGTCCACAGCGGTGAAGGCCGGCAATGCGCGCGTGCTGTGTATCCTAACGAGCCTCATGTCCCCTGATGTTCCTTAGTTCTCTGCTATTTCTCGCTTCCTCTGACCCCTCGCAGCGGTGAAGGCCGTCGTAGACGGCAAGGCGCGCGTGCTCGTGGGGGAGCGGTGGTCGCGCGCCTTCGGCCACCGGCGCGTGGCGCAGGAAGTGAAATTCGGCCAGACGCCCTCCGCCGCGCCTGGTACGCTGATGGTTACCACTTCGAGGCGCCCGTTATGCTGCTCACTGCGTTGTGCGTACCAGAACGTAGTATTCTCTTTCGCTCACCTACCACTTCGAGGCGCCCGTTATGCTGCTCACTACCTCGTCAGTCGCCTCGGTCGGCTGACCTGCCTCATCCTTTTCGCTCCTCCCCTTTCGCCTCCATTCGTCTGTTGTGCCCGCGCCCTTCTGCTGCTTCTCTCCCTCCCACGCTCTGCCGGCGGTCGTGGCGGCGTCGTCTGCGCGCAAGCTCGTGTGCATGAAGGCAAACATCTACGGGCCTCGTCTCCGCGAACCCCGTCGTTCCCCCTCTCCTCATTCTCCCCGCTGCTTCTCCTCATTCCCCTCCCGCCACCCTCCCCCGTTCTCTTCCCAGAGAATCCGCTCGGCGGCAGCGTCGGGCCGCGCGCAAGTCCTTCCGGCTGCTGTGTTTCCGACTACCTACCCACTTTTCCTGATTGCTCATGCTCCCCCGCTCCTCCGCTCCTCATGTCGTTCCCCCGCTCTTTCTCCCCCACCAGAGGGCCCGGTGGTGGCGGCCGCCTCTGCGGCGCGCCAGTCCATCGGGCTGCTGGGCATCGGCTCCCTCTTCAAGGGCGCCGCTTAAGCCACCACCGCCGCTTATCCCCGTTCTTCCCCGTTCTCCCCCCCCCACCCCCTCCCTCCCCCAGAGGGTCCGGTGGTCGCGGCAGCGTCGGATGCGCGCAAGTCCATCGGCCTTCTGGGCATCGGCCCCTACTTCAAGGACGCCGCTCAAGGCGCTAGCGCCGATACCGCCGCTGATGGCGGCGTTGGAGCCGGGCCGTTCGTGGCGGCGGGGAATGACGCGAGCGTCGTCAACGCGCTGGCGAATGGCGCGATGGACAGCAGCAGTGGGCCGGCGTCCTCATCCTCATCATCATCGGCGCCCGTGTTCAAGTCCAAGGGCTGGAAGCTCCCCTACACCGACCAGCGTAAGCTCGCTGCGTCATTCATATCAATAGTTCCTCGCTGCTTCTAAGCTCCATCGCCCTCCCCATCGCCCTCCCCATCGTCCTCCCCTTCGTCGTCGCCAGTGTTCAAGTCCAAGGGCTGGATGCTCCCTTACACCGACCAGCGTACGTTCTCTCCGCCGTGCCTTGCTGCGGGACTTGTAGTCTAGATCCAGCCGCCATGCACAGTCGCCCTACCCGTGCGACTGCGTCATCTGGCATAACTGTCTGCCTCATTTGGCTCGGCGCGCTTCCCGTCTCCCTCACCCCTCTCCCACTTTTCCTTCCCCCCAGCCGTGAACTCCGCTCCCAAGCCCATCTCGTACCACGGCGGAGCGACTTTTGAGTCGACTCAAAAGGTACCACGGCGGAGCAGTCCTCTCGGACCCCATCACCGTCTTCCTCATCTCGCACGGCACGTTGCCCTTGCTCTCCCATGATTCCCCCGGTTCTCCTCTACACAGCCATCGACTTCGCCCCGAAGCCCGTCTCGTACCACGGCGGCGCAGTGCTCTCAGACCCCATCACCGTCTACCTCATCTGGCACGGCACGTGGCCTGAGGAGCGCAAGGCGCCCGTGCGCGCGTTCGTGCAGTCGCTGTCGGACGCGGGGCTGGCCAACGAGCCGGGGAGCGTGCGCGACTGGTGGAACGCCAACCGGCTGTACCACGCGGGGCGGGAGCATGTCACTGGGAGCGTCACTCTCGGGGTGAGTTTGCTTTATTGGGATGGGGGCAAGGTTTCTGAGACCCCCGTGCGCGCGCTTGTGCAGTCACTGTCTGGGGATGTGAGTTTTCTTGAGAGCACGGCCCCCTAGGGGGGTTCTCATTCAGTCGCTGTCGGACGGGGGGCTGGGCAACGAGCCGGGGAGTGTGCGTGACTGGTGGAACGCCAACCGGCTGTACCATGCAGGGCGCGAGCACGTGACGGGGAGCGCCGTCCTCGGGGTAAGCTGGCTTCATAGGGATGGGGGCAAGGCTGCTGCGAGGCGCCCAGGCGCCCGTGCGCTCGTTCGTGCAGTCGTTGTTGGAAGGGGGGGGGCTGGGCAACGAGCCGGGCAGCGTGAGGGACTGGTGGGTGGGACGCTAACCGGCTGTACCACGCAGGCCGCGAGCACGTGACGGGGAGCGTCATCCTCGGGGTGAGTAGCTTACCTAGGGCTGGATGCAAGGCGAGGGGGGTGGACCGTGGAGTCGACCTGATTCTGGGCCGGGCGCCATTGTCGCCATGTGCATGTGTGTGTACACTCGAATTCCGTGTATGCATCCATGTGCCCCCATGCACACCCCAGAGGCGGCACCAGAGGCAGCGCACAACGCAGCAGCCAAGGGCAGCCGCGATTCTTGACTAAGGCACGGACATTGGCGGGTGTGCCCCGCTCAACCCCATTATCCCCCATTATCCCCCATTATCCCCCATTCTCCCCCATTCTCCCCCATTCTCCCCCATTCTCCCCCATTCTCCCCCATTCTCCCCCATTCTCCCCCATTCTCCCCCATTCTCCCCCATTCTCCCCCATTCTCCCCCATTCTCCCCCATTATCCCCCATTATCCCCCATTCTCCCCCATTCTCCCCCATTCTCCCCCATTCTCCCCCATTCTCCCCCATTCTCCCCCATTCTCCCCCATTCTCCCCCATTATCCCCCATTCTCCCCCATTCTCCCCCATTCTCCCCCATTCTCCCCCATTCTCCCCCATTCTCCCCCATTCTCCCCCATTATCCCCCATTCTCCCCATTCTCCCCCATTCTCCCCATTCTCCCCCATTCTCCCCCCCCCCATTCTCCCCCATTCTCCCCCATTATCCCCCATTATCCCCCATTCTCCCCCATTCTCCCCCATTCTCCCCCATTCTCCCCCATTCTCCCCCATTCTCCCCCATTCTCCCCCATTCTCCCCCATTATCCCCCATTATCCCCCATTCTCCCCCATCGTCCCCCATCGTCCCCCATCGTCCCCCATGCAGACGCCAGAAGTGTCCATTGACGCAGCGCCCGCAGCAAGGGGCAGCCGCCCGCCAGCAAGAACGAGGTTACCGCCGCCCTGTGTGCATGAGATCAACTCTAATGTTTGCATCTGTGCGTGCATGTGCCCCCATTCTCCCCCATGCAGACCCCTGAGGTGGAGATAGATGCGGCACCCAGCAGCGAGGGGCAGCCGCCCGCCAGCAAGAACGAGATCAACGCCATCATCAACTTCCAGGTGGGTGACGTCACCGTCGCCTCTCAGGTGACTCTCTATCGCTCCCAAGTGGCGCCATCCTCCCGTCCCCTCCCTCCCCTCCCCGTCACAATCTGCCGTCCGATCTCTCCCCCGCCTCGGAGCTGTCCACATCACACAGCTCACATCACACATCACATCACATGCCCCATCTCCAGCTCGTCTTTGCCTTTTCCGTCCCTTTGACTCACTCTCCCTCTTTCACCTTGGCTGTTCCTTTCTCAGATCCGCTCTCGCACTCTCCCCCGCCACGACTCAGCCGTCTACGCTGTCTTTACTTCTGAAGACGTTGACATGGCTGGCTTCGGCTCCTCCTTCTGCGCCTTCCATGACGTCAGCACGGTGCACTTCACCTGGACAGGCATGCCGTCCAGGTTCATCCCCCAGTGCACGCACGCAGCTTCCCCAGGTAACGCCTACCCCAATGGGGACCGGGCCTTAGACGGGCTCATTGCCAATTTCGCCCATGTGCTTGCCGCAGCTGCGGCAAACCCGAACCTGCTGTCCTGGTTCGACAAGGAGGGTCGGGAGGCCATGGGCCTGTGCGGGAACAACTGGGGCACGGAGTATGCGAGCAAGGATGCCCCGCCGGTGCAGTACAATGCGGTGGGGAGGGGTGGAGAGCGGTTCTTGCTGCCCACGAATCTCAACCCAATCACTGGCCGCTGCATCAACGGTCTCTCGGTCATGCAGGGTCAGTGTGGCCCTAAATTCTTCGGCTTCCCTTGCGACTCTGTCACCGCTTCCGAGGCTGACACCGAACCTCCTGCCGAACCTGCTGCAGGCTTGGGAGCCGCGGCAGCCAGTGTGGTAGGGGGAGAGGCAGAAAAAGCTGCGGTGGGGGGGGATGGGGATGCGCGAACGGTGAAGGACTCGAGAGTGGCGGAGGCGGAGGCGGCAGGGCTGGATCTGTCGGTGGGGGGAAAGGCCGTGGGGCGATTCCTGGCGCCGGGGCAATTTGACCCCGCTAAGGGGGACAGGGGGGAGGATGAGGGGAGCGCGGGGCAGGTTGGGGGGAACGCAGACGATTCGGGTGCAGGGTCCAATGTGTTTGAGAGCACAGGGTATGCTGATGGCGGTGATAAGGAGGGTGCTACTGACAAGGAGGGTGCTGCCGGTGCTGCCGGTGCTGCTAACCCGTTCGATGTGGAAGGGGCAGGGGATGACGGCGCGGATGGGGGAGTGGGCGCGGAGGAAGCGGTGGGGGCAGAGGAGGGTGCGGGCGCAGATGCTGGTGCAGGAGCGGAAGAGAAGGGCGGAAAGGAGAAGGTTGGCGGTAATGATGACGTTTTCCAGAGCACTGGATACCCGGATACTGATGGGGATGGGAAGGAGGACGAGCAGGAGGGCGGGGGCAGTGACGGTGGGAGAGTGGGGGCAAGTGGTGCGACTCAGCCAGAGGAGGTGAATCCGTTTGTGCACCACGCGGCTGCAGCCAGTGATGCTGGTGCAGGCAACTGGGGCGGTGGTGACAGCAATGTGTTTGAGAGGAGCGAGTACCCTGAGAGCGAGCAGGGCGGGGATGGTAGCCAGCAGGGTGAGGAGAGCAGGGGGGATGAGGAGAGCGGAGAGAGCGAGCAAGGTGAGGAGGGGGGCAAGGACAACAGTGGGGCGAGTGAGGAGAGTGGGGAGGGTGAGGAGAGTGGGGAGGCAGATGGCGAGAGTGGGGAGGTGGCGGAGGGCGATATGGACGAGGACGACAGTGCAGACAGCTCCAACGTCTTCCAGAGCACGGGGTACCCTGATGATTCGCCCGCCAATGCAGACCCATCAATAGGGGCTGGGCCGGCCCTCTTTCCCGGCAGCGGCAAGGCGCCGACTGATGTGTTTGGTGACCTGGGGGATGGGGACAGTGATGGCGAGGGAGAGGGGGGCAGTGAGGGCGGGGAGGTGAGTGCGGGGAAGGAGGAGAGCAGCCGGGGGGGTGCCAGCAATGTTGGGGCTTTAAGTCTGGGTCAGGGGGGCTTTGAGGCTGGCGCATCGGGGGGCTTTGAGTTTGACCTGTCGCAGTTCAAACTGGGGGAGAGGGAGAGCCCTGGGGCCCCGCACTTCTTCCCTGGCGATGCCTCCGCCTCCACCTACGCTTCTGCCTCTGCCTCTGCTTCTGCCTCACGGATGGAGCAAGTGGGTAGGCCTCTGGAGCAGGGTGGTGGGGAGGAGGCTGGTGGTGAGGAGGAGGTTGGTGCAGCGAGGGCTGAGGGGGGGCAGCAGCTGGACAAGAGGGAGCAGTGGGTGTTTTCTGGTGTTTAGGGTGGCTTGAGTATTGAGGGTAATCCACCACTGGCGGCTGTAGCTGCTACTACTGTTCCTTGTGATGGCGATTGTGGCATCAGCTAGATGCTGCTGCTCGTCGCAGGTATATAAGTTATACCTTATTTCTTTCATTCAATACAATTTCAGCTGGCTTATATTGGTACAAATGGTTCTATGCTTCATGAAGTAATTGTTAACGAGAGCTAGGTAGCTAGGAAGGGTAGGCGGCCATGGAATGGCGTGAGGGTTTAGCTACAAGGAAGTTGACGAGAGAAAAAGGGGTCGAGAACAGGGCTGACGTTTCAAAAAAAGGCACTCTGAGCCAACCCCCCCAAAAAAAAAAAAGTCTGAAGGGCCTTCAGCCGAAATTTTTGTAGTCTGAAATGTCAGGGTCCAGAACTCAGCGAGTCTGATTTTTTCAGGGTCCAGGACGTACAACCAGAGTCACACACGGGAAACACCCCCACAGCGAGAAACTTCCCTCCCTCCTACACCTCCCAAAAATCCGGCTAAGTCCAGGGCCTACTTTTGGATTTTTACTACTCTGAAATTAGGGAGTGGCTTTTTCCATCACTCTGAAAATCAGAGTGCTCCCCAATGGTTTCTCTGATTTTCCAGGGTTTTTTATATTTCTCAAAATTTTACACTGACAATGCAGAGGGGTTTTTGAAGTAACTCTTTGCAGCAGGGTTCTCTAGGCGTGCGGGGCAAGATCAGGAGATGGGGGGTGGAACAAAGGGGAAGTATCGAGAGATTGTATGGGCAGGGGGAATCGAGATTGCAGGGGCAGGGGGAATCGACCTGGCAGGAGAGGTCGACACAGCAGGGGCGGGGATGGGAAATCTTGCACTCCCCCTGCAAGCACACGTTGGCCCCAAATACGGTGAAGGGCCCAACCAAGACGACCTCACACAGCCAACAGCGCATTTCGCTTGACCCCTAGATTTGGCGAAGGGCCAATCAACGCCCTCACGCACCTTCCAGCACAATTGGCGAGGTGATTTTGGTGAAGGGACACTTACCGTAGCACCCTCACACAACCTCGAGCACGGACCAGACAATGATTTCGCCGGTGCGTGTGACATGACGCGTTCCGCGGGACACATGGGCACAGCCAGCTATAGGGGACAGGAACATAATCACATATATACGGTACCCCCTATACACGGACCATCAGAGTGGTACAAAGGTTTACTCGGATAAAATCAGAGTAAAAAAAATAATTTATTTTTTTACTCAGGGCCCCTAGAGTAGTTTTCAAAAACGACTCTGATTTTCAGAGAAACAGAGTAAATTACTCTGATAAAATAGGCCCTGGCTAAGTCCCTTGCAGCCATAAAAAATCCTCCCACAGCCCGCGCCCCCCCCCAACCAGCAACCTTGTCATACCCTCGTTTTGCGTAGTTGTTAAATGTGGGAAACGGGGAAGTCATTCCTAAAAAACGAGGGGGTAAAATCGCACTGCCACGGAAAACGAAACTGAGGAGAGGGGGAATCGAAACTGACGGGGAAATGGGGAGGGAATCAAAATGGAGGGGAGGGGGGAAGCGAAACGAAGGGGAGGGGGGGGAAGGGGGGGGGCGGTCGAAACGGAGAGGATGGGGGAAGCGAAACGGAGAGGAAGGGGGAAGTGATTGAAACAGAGGGGAGGGGGGGGAATCGAAACGGCAGGGAGGGGGGAAGCTGGGGAATAGGACGGTGGGAGAAATTTCGCGCCCTTGCAGCGCCCCGGTGGGGAAATCTTGGACGTTAATCACAACATAACATCGAACGATTGATATATGTCGAAACGATCGCAAACGATCGTGACCGTTACATTTTGGTAGACTTTCAGTTGACCAAACGGGCAACTGGCGAGAATTTCCCTATGTTAAAAATGCGGAATTTACTCTTATTCCAATGCAGTTAAAAAAAAAATGTGAAAGTCTCATTCAAAACTTCTGGGTTGTTCCAGGTGTTAAGGAGGACTGTATCTGACAACATGCCTTAGTCGAAATTTAGGGTGGGTTGTGTCAAACATGTGTAGTTATCATGTTTGTATAGACTGTATAGGGTCACCTTCTAGAGAGTACAACATTTAGGTATATGTTTGTGTACTCTCTCTCTCACATTATTCAATTCTAGGTTTGATATGGTATCACGAGTAGGTTTCACCCCCCCCCCCCCCCCCCCCCCCACCTACCGCTTCCGCTCCTCCCGTCGCGTCTCCTAGCCTCGCCTCGCCCCTCCTGAGCCCAGTCGCGACCCCTCCCCCTAGCCCCGTCGCGCCCCTTCCAGGGCCTCGTAGCGCCCCTCCAGGCCCCGTCGCGCCCCCTTCCAGGGCTTCGTAACGCCCCTCCAGGCCCCCGTCGCGCCCCTCCAGGGCTCTGTAGCGCCCCTCCAGGGCCCCGTCGCGCCCCCTAGCGCCCCTCCTGGGCCCCGTAGCGCCCCTCCTGGGCCTCGTCGCGCCCCTCCTGGGCTTCGTAGCGCCCCTCCTGGGCTTCGTAACGCCCCTCCCAGGCCCCGTCGCGCCCCTCCTGGGCTCCGTAGCGCCCCTACTGGGACCCGTCGCGCCCTCCCTGGGCCCTGTAGCGCCCCTCCTGGGCCCCGTCGTGCCCCTCCCAGGCCCCGTCGCGCCCCTCCTAGGCCCGTAGTGCCCCTCCTGGGCCCGTAGCGCCCCTCCTGGGCCCCCCCCCATTGCGCCCCTCCTGGGCCCCGCCGCGCCCCTCCTAGGCCCCCATTGCGCCCCTCCTGGGCCCGTAGCGCCCCTCCTGGGCCTGTTGCGCCCCTCCTGGGCCCTGCCGCGCTCCTCCCTGGGCCCCGTATCCACCCTCCTGGGCCCCGTCGCCCCTGCTCGGCCCCGTCGCCCCTGCTCGGCCCCGTCGCCCCAGCTCGGCCCTGTCGCGGCCTCTCGGCCCCGTGGCGCCCGCCCTGCCCCTGTCGCAGCTGCCCGGCCCCTGTCGCACCTGCCCGGCCCCGTCGCGCCCGCCCGGCCCCGTCGCCCCCGCCCGGCCCTGCTGTGTCCTGCCCGGCCCCGTCGCTGCCGCCCGGCCCTGTCGCTGCCGCCCGGCCTCGTAGCTGCCGCCCGGCCCTGTCGCTGCCGCCCGGCCTCGTAGCTGCCGCCCGGCCCCGTCGCAGCCGCCCGGCCCCGTCGCAGCCGCCCGGCCCCGTCGCAGCCGCCCGGCCCCGTCGCAGCCGCCCGGCCTCGTAGCTGCCGCCCGGCCTTGTCGCTGCCGCCCGGCCCCGTCGCAGCCGCCGGCCCCGTCGCAGCCGCCCGGCCCCGTCGCGCCTGCCCGGCCCCGTCGCGCCTGCCCGGCCTCGACGTGCCTGCCCGGCCCCGTCGCGCCTGCCCGGCCCCGTCGCGCCTGCCCCGGCCCTCCATACTTCCTGGTACTGTCCCCCGTTCCCCGCACCACTTTGCACCCTCCTGCACTTTCCTGCCCCGCCTTGCACCGCATTGCACCTCACTGAACCGCACTGGACCGCACTGCACCGCCCTGCACCGCACTGCACAGCACTACACCGCACTCCACTGTCCTCCACTGCCCCTCATGGCTGCTGAGCTTCGTTTTGATGCTGAGGGTCAGCCTCTGGAGTTCGAGGCGTGGTTGGCTGACCTTCGCCGCCACCTCACTGGTCAGCGGCAGGACGGCCACCCGCTTTCTGCACACCTAGACGGTATGCTCCCCTGCCCTGACCCCCCTGCTGTGCTGCCTGCTGATCCCACGCCCGCTGAGCGCGAGTCCACTGCCGCCGCTGCCCTTGCCCGCTCTGTCTGGCTTTCCCGCGATGCCCTTGCTCAGCTCGCCATTAGCAATGCCCTCCCCCCCCTTGAGCGCCCTCGCTTTAGAACCATTACTACCGCCCAGGCCTACCTCGATGCTGTCATCAAGCGCTATTCTACCCCTCCTGCTGCCTCAGTGGGTCGCCTGATCCTCCCCCTGCTCTTTCCTGACTTGGCGTCCTTCCCCACTGTCTCTGACCTCGCTGCCCACCTGCGCTCGATAGATGAGGCCTGGCGCGCTGCCTGCACTGATGCACAGCTTAGAGTCCACCAGCCTCCCATGACCTCTACCCTCTACCTCCTTGCCACCCGCCTCCCTGACCGCCTTGCCGCCGCCCGCGACCAGTTCCTTAGCATCCACCCTGCTGCTCTCACCCTCACCGACTTTGTTGACACCCTGACTGCCATAGAGACTCGTCACCGCTCCATAGCCCAGGCGAGCGGTACAGTACCGGTCCCTATCTTTCAGGGTTGTGCCCCCGCTCAGTGTACCTTCTCCGACGGCTCTGTCGCTGTGGCTGAGACTGCTGCTGCAGTGCAGTCCCGCTCGGGGAAGGGCCGCCGCCCAAGGTTGGGAGCGGCGGAGGTGGCGGGGGTGCGGGTGGGGGTAGTGGTGGAGGCGGGTCGTCCGGTGCCGGTGCGGACGTGGGGACCCTGCCCGGTCCAGCTGCCCCGCTGCCTCCACCGTTGCAGCAGCCGCAGCAGCAGCAGCCTCCGCAGCAGCCGCAGCAGCCGCCGCAGACGAGGCCGGCGAGTGCTCTCCCGCCTGGGTGGCCTGGAGCTGGTGGTGGTCGTGCGCGTGGTGGTGCACCGGGTGGTGGTTCTGGAGGCGGGCCCTGTCAGTACCAGATCCAGACCGGTCCTCGCCGCGGCTTCGTTTGCGGTAAGATCGGTCATTCCACTCCTCGCTGTTTTCGTCGTCTGGACGACCTGTTCCGCCAGCGCTTTGGCCCGGCGCCCGACCTCCCGGACTGGCACAGCTTGCTTAGGCGTAGCATTCGGATTTTTGACTTGGACATGGATGCCATTGTAGCAGCCTTGCATGTGATGTATGCCGATGACTCTAGTGTGCTTCCCTCTTATTACCCCGTGTTGCCTAGTGTAGCTGTGCCTAGCGTAGACTCCCCTGCTGCGTCAGGCGTAGGATCTCCTGCTTTGCTTAGCCTCGGTGCTTCCACCGCTTCACTGTCGCCCCGCGCGACTGCTGCGCTTTCCTTCACCTTGGACTCTGGCGCCTCCCGGTGTTTCTTCCGCGACTCCACGACGCTGACGCCACTGCCTGTTCCCGCTGCAGTTACTCTTGCTGACCCCTCCGGTGGTCCCGTCGTTGCCCGCAGTTCCACCTCCCTTCCCTGTCCGGCGGTTCCTTCAGGTTCGCTCACCGGTCTGCATATCCCCTCGTTCTCCAGGAACCTAGTTG